CAGAGTCTGTTCTTGGATGACCTTGGATGCTCTATTTCAGGCATGCTAGTTAAAATGCAGGCTCCTGAACCCTATTCAAACTTAATGAAACGTTTGTTGCTATCTCTGGTTGTAGGGCACTGGAATTCATATGTTTAGAAAACTCTTTCATCCCTACTCCAAGTCCGATATGCATTAAAATTTGACATGATAACCTAGTATCTTGACAGCAAATTTGGAAGCCGTTGAAGTATAGCTTAAAAATATGGAAAAATTTGGAATGCTTGAATTAATTGATGATGAAGAACCCTTTTTATCTAATGATCACATGTCAACACTACACAAGACCAAACACTCACAATGGTCTCCTGTGTCCATCAAAGCTTGTTTCTAATGTTTTTAAATGGCTGTGATTAAACAGCTGTCAATGACAAAATGGTGACTTTTATTTTTAAAAGATAGGAGACTTAAAAAAAAAAAAAAAAGCAAACATTGAGGACATGTGTCTCCAAATGACTGTGGCCTGTTCAAGGCATTTGGAAGTCATTTTTTTTTTTGGTGGTGCTGGGGATTGAATCCAGGGCCTTGTGCATGTGAGGCAAGCACTCTACCAACTGAGCTATATCCCAGTCCTGGAAGTCATTCTTAACACCTTTGTCCCTTTTCCTGTCTTCTTGGGTTGCAGATTCTACCCAGCAGGATCTGTCGATCACTGGGAGGAATGTGTCTGTTTGTCAATTGTACTTAGAAGACCTGACTATTCTTAGTAGTTTTGTGAAAGAATATTGTGAGCCCATGGCTGACCTCAGTTCTTTCATTTTCATTGTTTAAAATTTAGGTGGTTTCATGGTCACCTCTCTGGGAAAGAAGCAGAGAAATTACTAACTGAGAAGGGGAAACATGGGAGCTTTCTTGTGCGAGAGAGCCAGAGTCACCCTGGAGATTTTGTTCTCTCCGTCCGCACTGGCGATGACAAAGGGGAGAGCAATGACGGCAAGTCTAAAGTGACCCACGTCATGATTCGCTGCCAGGTAACGCTCCAGTCCTGCTCTGAGTCTGCTACGGGTCTGGGGAAATGTCATCCTTGGGTGATTTTTCTGCTGGGAGAAGACAGACGCCGTTACATCCCAAATCAGATTTCCTTTGCTCACTTGGTCAAGGCCTTCCATTGTTGTGGTATACTGTTTATTAGAGTGCTCTCGTTGTTTCATAACTGTTTATTTTCGCCTGTGTCTGGGGTGCATCGCCTCTTGCAGTGTCTGATCTGCTCTGTGCAGGGCAGCTGGAGTCTGTCTCCAAGGCCCATTTTCTAAAGAGTTGGGTCCAGCTCCTGCTTAGGCTCCTCAGCCCAGCCTGACACTGACACTTGACCCTCTGTATCTGTGCATTCTGCTTCTGTGAATTCAACCAACTAGGGGTCAAAAGATAGCATCGTACTAAATACATACAGACTTTTCCTTTTATTGTTACCTAAGTGATACGGTACTACAGCTGTGTACCTAGCATTTATGTGTATTAGGTATCCAAGTCACATCGAGATGGTTTAAAGTATACGTAGGATGTGTGTAGGTTATATGCAAGTACCATGTCGTTTTATTTTATTTGTCTTTTTGGTGCCAGGAACTTGCGAATACTGAGATGTGTCTTCCAATGAGCCACATCGTGTCCCCATCCCATGCTTGCTTTGCTGAGCCTGTCCCTTCCAGTCCTCCTGTTGCTTCCTACCCTTCCTACTGCCACAGCTGTTTGACTTTCCATTTCTGGGGGAAGAGTCCGTTTCTGGGCTTAGATTGGTAATAACAGCTATCTTAGTTTTTTATTTCAGGCTGATTAGTGTATCCATCACCTTACACAGTGGCCTTTTGCCTTTTTTTTTTTTTTTTTTTAGTGAAAACACTTGAGATCTACTCTCTAGCAAATTTCAAGTATATAAGACATGATTATTGGGCTGGGGCTGGGGCTGGGGCTCAGTGGCAGGGCACTTGCCTAACACATGTGAGGCCCTGGGTTTGATTCTCAGCACTGCATATAAATAAATGAATAAAATAAAGGTCCATCAGCAACTAAAAAAAAAAAAAAAAGACATAGTTATTAACTGTAGTCACCATGCTGTGCGTTAGATCTCTAGGATTTATTTATTTTCCTGGAGGTATATACCCTTGATCAGTAGCCCCCTTCCTCCCCCACCCCAAGTCCTCGATAGCCACCATTCTACTGTCTGTTACTATGAGCTTGGCCTTCCACATGGGAGTGAGGACGCATAGTCTTTGTGTTTTTGTGCCTGGCTTATTTCATTTAACTGTGTCCTTCAGATTCATCCAGGTTGGTGCAAATGATAGGATTTCATTTTTTTTTTTAAACAAAGGCTGAGTAATATTTCACTGTGATGTGAAATATATCCCCCCCATATATAAAATCCTTCCTCTGTATGGACAACTTTGCTTGTTTCCATATGCCGGTTGCTGTGGATTATTTTGCAGTGATGATGAGAGTGTGAGAAAAACAGCAATTTAACATCAAGGTAGTAAGAATTGTGTTTTTACTTTGAAAGGAACTGAAATATGATGTAGGTGGAGGAGAGCGGTTTGACTCTTTGACGGATCTGGTGGAGCATTACAAGAAGAATCCTATGGTGGAAACACTGGGCACAGTGCTACAACTCAAGCAGGTGAGCGTATTGGAAAACTCCTTTTCCTTAAAGAATTTGAAAATATTCTAAATTAGAATTTCCCACACATGCAGAATGTCAGTCAGCTTTCTGTCACTGAGATAAAATACGTAAAAGAAACAACTTAATAAGAAAAGGTTTATTTGGGCTTATGGTTGCAGCCCATGGATTCTTTTTTTTTTTTTTTTTTTTAATTTTTATGTATTCTTTTAGTTATACATGACAGTAGAATGTATTTTGACATATTATACATAAATGGAGTATAACTTCCCATTCTTATGGCTGTGCATGATGTGGAGTTACACTGTTGGTGTATTCATATCTTAACATAGGCAGGTTCTGTCCGATTCACTCTACTGTCTTTCCTATTCCCTCCCCCTCCCTTCTTCCATTCCCCTGTGTCTAATCCAATGAGGTCTACCTTACCCCCACCCCCCAGTGTGCATTAGCTTCCTCAAGTCGGAGAGAACATTCAGTCCACGAGCTCTTGACTCTGTTACTTTGGGTGTGACAGCATGGTACAGCATACAGGGGTGTGTGGAGGAGGAGGCCTGTTCTCTTCAGTGGGCCTGGGAAGCAAAGAGAAGGACAGTAAGGGGCTGGGATCCCCATATGCTCTTCAGGGGCACGTCCCCAGTGACCCAGCTTCCTTCCACTAGGCCCCTCTCTCTAAAGGTTCTACTACCTCCCCATGTGCCATGAACTGGGGACCAGGCCTCCAAAACATGGCCCCCTGGGGGACATTCGAGATCCATAGTCTAACACAGAAGTGGACAGAGTGGTCTCAGCAGCTTCCACTTAACCTACCTCCCATCTTCAGTCTTGATCAATTCATCAGGTCTTCATTTGTTACTCATGGCTACTTTTTGTAGGATTTGGAAACAGATTCCAGATGTTATATCTTATGTTTCCATATGTATCTGTAAAGACCTCATGAAGTTTTTTGAATTTTTTTTTTTTTTCTCTTTTGTGCTGGGGATTGAACACAGGGCCCCAAGCATGAGCTCTACCACTGAGCTACACCCCAGCCCCCTTATAGTTTTGTTTTTGTTTTTGCAGTTCTGGAGATTGAACCCAGGGCTTGCACATGCTAGGCAAGCGCTCTGTTACTGAGCTACACCCGAGCCTTCTCATAGAGTTTTTAAAGCAAGTTTTCCCGGGGAATCCTCCTTTGGTTATCTTTAGGTGATCACGCTTACTTTGGAGTTGTTAACATGATTTCATCTGTAAATAGTTTTCTATTCACAAAGAAAAGTAAGTTTGCAAAGAAAAATAAGTTTGCATTTGAAGAAAGATGCACTTTCTGACAGAACAGAACCAAAAGTGAAAGCACATTAAGAATGTTGTGAATTACTGTGTCCTGTGACCCCCCCCCCCCCCCACTCCCCTGGGCCTTTGTGAATACCACCACAGGAGTCTTTTTATTTGCATTATCATCTTTTTAAAATACATTTTCTTCTTTTTCCACCAACTACCGAACTTGGTCAGCCTCTCAACACCACTCGGATTAATGCTGCTGAAATAGAGAGCCGGGTTCGAGAACTAAGCAAATTAGCTGAGACTACGGATAAAGTTAAACAAGGCTTTTGGGAAGAGTTTGAGGTAAGGTATTAAGAAACTGTTTTTATGTGCATGATTAAATTCTATTTTTAATAGAAAAGAAGTTTGCCTCATGTTTGGAGTTGGATCTGAAAGACTTTTGCATCCTTCCGTAACTCAGCCATTGATTGACGTGGAACAAGTTGCTGAGGGGGCTTCTTTGAAATGGAAGGGCATTATGTTCTCAGAAAAGGGAGTTGGCAGCTAGTGTTATGGGGTTGAGCCAGCAGCTCCATTTGGCTCTTTTGGTGTGGATTGCTGGCCAAACCCCAGAAAAACAAAGGGATCTGATTCCTTTGGAGATTTCTAGCACTCACTGGGATCTTTGAAAAGACTGTGTAGCCTGATGTGAATGAGTCCAAGAGAAAAAGTTCAAGTTTGCTTTAATTTGGAGTTTCAAACTGATAACTCTAGGAAGTCAAGTGGACTGATTTCTCTCCTGGAACCCACTTAGGTAGAATGTCCCCAGTGAACATGTCCTGTGGTTCCTTTTGCACTCTTACATGTCACTTGCCTATTGATACTCTGATCTCTTTCTTTTTCTCCTTGTCTGTTTGACAGAAGACCTCTTCACAGCCCTGTGCAGTGGCACACACCTGTTAATCCTAGAGGCTGAGACCAAGGGAGGAGGTTTGCAAATTTGGGGCCAGCCTAGGCAGTTTAATGAGACCTTGTTGCAAAATAAAAAATAAAAAGGGTGAGGATGTAGCTCAGTGGTCCAGTGCCCTGGGTTCAATCTCTAGTACAAAAAAAAAAAACAATCGAAGCCTTTTGGCTAAGATCAAGTGTAGTATCTGTTCTTGACAATTTAATATCTGATGCATCCTCTATCTGAAGACAATATATTAAATAGATTTTTGGAAATAGGAGATGGAATAGGATCTGGCTTCACTCACTCCATGTAGCTACCTGTATTGCAGCACCTCCAGAACAATGCACCAAACCAAACCAAACCAAACCAAACCAAAACAACAACAAAAACCCAAAAAACAACAACCAAAGTAAACACCAAACCCAGAAAAATTCTTCCCAAAGATTTTGGCGTGTTTACTCTTTATTTTATTTTTTAGTTGTTGATGAACCTTTATTTATTCATTTATGTATATGCAGTGCTGAGAATCAAACCCAGTGCCTCACACATGTGAGGCAAGCGCTCTACCACTGAGCCATGACCCCAGCCCCTTGACGTGTTGTCTCTTGCATTATCCCCAGTATGGAGCACGGTGCCTGGCACCAAGCTGAAATGCCATAAATATTTGTTGTATGAATATTTACATTTAGCTAATGTTTACATCATTTTATTTTTACGTTCTGTTTTGTAGGAGTGATTATTCCATATTTCTTATAGGTCTTTAAAATTTACGAACATTTGTGGAATGAATGAATCAATAATGAACAGGCAGATCCTGTCCTTTTAACCATAGTGGGCCAGAGCAGCTTGGTGAGCTGTTTCCATCCTACAGACCTGAAGCCTAAAGCCCAATGAGGCTAAGTAGATTGCTCCATCTCCATAGCACAGAGATGAATGCAGATTGGCACATGCACCCTGCTTGCTCCACAGCGCTGACCAGGGACTTGAATCCAGGTTTATTCTCACACCAGGCTTTGGGTTAGAGCCGTGAACCCTGTGGTGAACAAAAGAACCTGGGGTCGGCCTTTAAAGGAGCTTCCAGTTGAGAGGAAAAACAACGAAATGCATCAAGGAGAAAGTGATGATGAGCACGAAGAGTCAGAGTCTTTATTTTTAGAGGTTTTTTTTTTTTGGTGCTGGGGATTTAACCTAGGGTCTAAGCGTGGGTCCTCCCACTAACTACTCATCGGCCCTCCAAGGAATTTTTTAATCCTTTAGAGATGTTTAGTCAGATTAGTAGTCTGCCTTCCACTCATTGGTTAGTCCTCTGGGTGGTTATCTGCTAACTGGACATATGATTAACTTATTTCATTTTTGTTTGAATTTTAGAAATTTCTTCTGTTAAGATTTATAATTTTGTAAAATACTTAGTTTGATTCTAAAATCAAATATAAAAAACCAGAATGTTTTAAAAGACATATATCTTCTTTTTGTTCGTACTAGGGATTCAACCAGGATTGCTTAACAACTGAGCCACATCATCAGCCCCTTTTATTTTGAGACTGTCTTGCTAATTTGCTTAGGGCCTTGCTAAATTGTTGAGGCTGACTTTGGAACTTTCAATCCTCCTGCCTCAGCCTCCTGAGCTGCTGGGATTACAGGAGTGTGCCACCGCTCCTGGCTCAGATGTCTATCTTCTATTTTGTTCTTTCTTTCATATATTTTAGCCACAGTTTGAAAAGTTATGGTTTATCATTACATTTAAAAAATGTAAGCAAATATGTGTGTGTGTGTGTGTGTGTGTGTGTGTATACACATATTTCTACTTTTTTTGAGATATGCAACCTAACTTTATGTACTTTTTTTTTCCTTTTGGTACCAAGGATTGAACTCAGAGATGCTTAAACACCGAGCCACATCCCTAATCTTTTATATATATATATATTTTAATTAGAGACAGGTCTCACTGAGTTGCTTAGGGCCTCATTGAGTTGCTTAGTGCCTCACTAAGTTGCTGAGGGTGGCTTTGAACTCGATCCTCCTGAGTCACTGAGATTATAAGCATGTGCCACCATGCCTGGTTTACCTACTTTAAAAAAAATTTTTTTAGTTATAGATGGACACAATACCATATTTATTTTTATGTTGTGCTGAGGATTGAATCCATGTACACGTGGTAGGCAAGTGCTCTACCACTGAACCACACACCCAGCCAACATACTTTTATTTTCAATCTTGTTTTTACAGTGTCTTGGCCACCACTCCATAGTAATATGTTGAGACAGTTTCATTCATTTATTTTTTTTTTTACTGCATAGTACTCCATTGTGTGGTTGTGCTATATGGTTTATTCAGCCCATTAATGGGCATTTGTATAATTTGCAAATGTATTACAAGGAGGGTTACAATATATAGCCTTGTACATGTATCTTTTCCTATTTTTTGCTGATCAATTTTAATGTTATTTTTTTATGTTCTAAAGAAATTGGTGGATGCTACTCATTCTTAAGTTTTATTATGTATCAATATACATTTTATTATTTATGATTTTGGTCAGTATATTCATCATCTGAAAAGTACTGTTTTCAAGTAAAATTTTGGATAAAAAAATTAGTGAACTCCTTTGTAACCTAGACCTATTTTAATCTCATACTTCCCTTAAAAACAATAGCTGGGCTGGGAATGTAGCTCAGAGGTAGAGCACTTAACCTAGCTTATACAAAGCCCTGGGTTCCATTCCCAGCAGTGTCCAAAAAAAAAAGAAAAAAAAAAAATATATATATATGGAAAAAAGGTATTTTAAAAACCACCCTAGCTAAGGGCTAGGGATGTGGCTCAGTGAAAGAATGCTTGGCTAGCATGCATGAGGTTCTGGGTTCAATCTCCAGCACACAAAAATAGAAAACAGCTGAGTCAGGTGTGGTGGTGCATGTGTATAGTTCTAGCTATTCAGGAGGCTAAGGCAGGGGGATTGCAAGTTGGAGGCCAGCCTGTGTAAATATGCAAGACCCTGTCTTAAAAATAAAAAAGGGCCAGAATGAGGCTTAGTGGCAGAGCGGTTGCTTAGCATGTGTAAGGCCCTGGGTTCTACCAGTACAGGGGGGCGGGGAAAGTGTGAGCTTAGAAGGAAGTCCTCGCCTACTCTTCTAGCCGTGGAAAAAGACCTTGATTGTAAATGCTGACCTGATGGATTCACTCTGTGACTTGTTGGGTTCTGCCCATCTTCTGTATATCATTAACAACAAAAAATGGAAAAATTGAGTTGGCTTTGGGGGAAATGGAAAACAAATGAGATCCCATCTATGCTCTACAAGTTCTCTGCAGAGGTCAAACTGTGTCAGTAGAATTGTCACACATTAAATGAGGGCATTAGTGTTTCATGGCAGCTGAAACTATATCTAAACAGCTGATGACCTGCTTTCTAGATCTCATAAGTGTCTGCTTTTCAAAACTTTTTAATATTTACTTTTCAGTTTTCAGTGGACACAACATCTTTGTTTTATTTTAATGTGGTGCTGAGGATTGAACCCAGCGCCCTGCGCATGCCAGGTGAATGTGCTACTACTTGAGCCACATCCCCAGCCCCCAAGTGTCTGCTTTTCAAATTCAGTTTTTAAAAATTGCCCTTTAAGGCTACAGCCAGGGGAATCAGGCTGAGGACAGGACAAACCATTACAGAAAAATGTTACATACTTGGAAGTGGATACTCATCATAATTTAAATCCCTAATACTGAAGTTTGGGCCACAACAGCAGGACATTATTATGTTAGTGATTGTAACTTATTGATTCTAGGAAGATGATAAATATGGGATCACGTCCTTTTTACAGTGTGCTCTGATGGTCTTTGAAATGAACCAGAGATCTAAAGTTCAATGTCATGGTAATTTAACTCAGGCAGCCATATTTTATTTGTCTCTATGCCCAGCTTCTGGTTTTCTGCAAAATTCTACATGTCATTTTAAGTATATTTACAAAGAAGACACTTGTAAATTATTTTTGCTTTGGATACATCTTAAAATTTGTAGTCCCTTGGGCTGGGGGTGTAGCTCAGTCCTAAAGCACTTGTCTAATATGTGTGAGGCTCTGGCTTCCATCTCTAATACCACAACCAAACTGAACCAATTCAAACCATACCTACCACACCTATCATAGCTACTGTGCCTACTATACCGCACTGTACCACACCATGCATTGCATACCATACCATACCATACCATACCATACCATCCACACTGCCCCACACCGTACCATCCCACACCTTACTGTACCTACCACACCATACATACCATACTGTACCAAATTGTACCATACTATACCATACCTTCCCACACCATCCCATCCCATACTATACCACACTGTGTGCCTCTTATGAAGCTCTTTGGTTCTCTTCTCCTTTGCTGCAAAATAAAATTCAGGCTGCTGGTCTGCTCTTAGGATACGCTGTCTGATCAGGACACTGAGCGTAAGCCTTTGATCTTTCCTAGCGATCGCCCACTCCTGAGCTGCGTGAACATCCTTTGTCCCCAGCATACCTCTGCTTGGGAATATAAAGAGGTGGAAATTTTTTCTAGGTTTGTTGAAATAAAGTTTGACTCAAATAAGACTGGCAGTGAATCAGTGAGAAGACAGGTTATAATTCTGTCATTTTGTGCCTGCAAGGTGTGTGTTGCTTGAAGCTTGAGTCAGCTGTGTGCGTCATGATGGGGTGCGTGTTATGTTACTGCATTTGTAAGATACTCACCCTGCCTGGTGCCTTCTCCTCCCCCCTGCAACTTCTTTGCTCTCATTTTTGTAAAAATTGTTTTTTAGTTGTTGATGGACATTTATTTATTTATTTATTTATGCGTGGTGCTGAGAATCAAACCCAGTGCCTCACACATGCTAGGCAAGCGCTCTGCCCCTGGGCCCCAGCCCCAGCCCTCCCTGCACTCTTCATTCTCCTTTTCCCTCTGCAGACTTTTCTTCTTCTTCTTCTCCTTCTCCTCCTCCTCCTCCTCCTCCTCCTCCTCCTCCTCCTCCTCCTTCTTCACAATATCTTTATTTTACATTTATGTGATGCTGAGGATCAAACCCAGTGCCTTGTGCATGCTAGGCGAGCGCTGTACCACAGAGCCACAGCCCCAGCCCTCTGTTTCTTGATCTATAACCCTTACTAGAGTCTCTTTTGGATCTTCACACTAGTAACTTTCAGTCTTTGTGCCAAAGTCTCAGAGATTCTCACTGGCTCAGATGCCATCCATCTCAGTCCAAGGACACAATCATATAGAACAAATATGTCTGCCTGGAGCACCCTGTTTGGGGAAGAATAGTTCTCAGGGACAAGAGTTGTAGCAAGCTGGGCGGATATCCCCAAAATATCTAACAAAAACTA